GTTTGAAAACAAAGTGGAAGATTAAATTTATTTCATATATGATGAACTGCCTAAATTAATATGATAATAAATTACTAAAAAAATGATGTCATTCAATAGTGTTGGCCTCTCTATTCAGCACGTTCTAGTTAAAAACCTTCCATTATCCCTCTTGATAATATAATCAGTGCCTATCTCAAGTAAAAATAATCTCTTCATTTATGTCACAAGTACCTTGACGTTCTTTTAGAAGATAATAGTAAATTTGATATATTTCGATATGTCTAATGACTGTAGATCAAATTAATTGTCATTTCCTTAACAAACCTCTACCACACTCTGTTTTTACCTAATCTGGAATTAAGTTCTCATAATAATATTGTCCAGAATGATGTTAGAAGATTAACAACTTAGTCATCCAACTAAAAGACCATCCGAGCTATAAATTTCTATATCAATTCAACAATAATTTCCCTTTATCATATCACTATGAATTGATGATCAGTGAAAGCAGACTTTTTCTCCCCAGAATTCATAGAGATGCTACTCTAATAAATATAGTTAAATTCAGTATTTTAAACCATCTAACTTATCAAAAACATCACTATTCTCGATTGACAGAATCTAACTTAAACAGAAGACTGAAACGTGAAATTGTTTTTGCAATATAACTTAAAAAGTCTTCTTTATTTTTTTAAATAACCAGATCTATTAAATTCTCAGCATTTGACAGATACTACTTAAGTCAATAAGTATAACTAATAAATTATATTTGTTTATGGTTGAGATCATGAACCGATTGTTAAACCACCATTGGAAACCTGGAAGCACTGGATGGCCATTTCGTCCTATTGGTTGATGTTAGACACTAACACCATTGGATACCGGCTTAGTGGTCCAGTAGGTTAAGCGTTCGTGCGCGAGACCGAAGGCCCTGGGTTTGAATCCCGCGAGCGGGATCGTGGATGCGCACTGCTGAGGAGTCCTATAATAGCACGAAACGGCCGTCCAATGCTTCCAGGTCTCCAACGGTGGTTTAGTATCAATCGGTTCATGATCTCAATCAAAAATTTAATAATCTCCACAACCCCTATACTGATGTATTTGTTTAGTTTAATCTATATACGTCTATTTAATTTACTATGAATAACTAATGAAAAAGAACAACAGTTAATAATCTATTTCTGTTTATGTTGATCAACATTTTTTCCACATTTTAGTATCTACGATTTTCAGTTTATATTTGATTCTGTCGAGAAAAAAACATTTACAGAATTGGACGAACCCACTGACAATTTACTTCTCACTATCTTTTCTCGTTACAATCATATGTTTATTTATTTTTATTCAATTTAGAAATCTATATATTTAGACAAAGAAGCATATCATGCCTTTTTGTTCAAACAATGGAACTTTTAATATAACAATAATAATATATCATATTAATTTAGTTTTTACAAATATTATTACTAATATGATATTTTATACTAGTTCCAACTAGTTTTGTGAATTCACTGTTTGGAATTAGTTGGGGATCATATTATACAATGTTGAAACTTCACTTACTTGTTCTTTTGCAAGGAACCGGATAAACAGCCTTCAAGTCTTGTTATGAGTCTAATAACTACAGACTACTGAGTTAAAATACAGTGATCCATATTTTCATCAACATTCACTTCTCAATACTACAAGTCTCTCGTCCATTATTATCAGTAGGTATTTAGATGGTTTACTTACAAATTGAAAGACTTCATAGTTTACAACATTTTATTAAAACTTCACAAAAGTGTCGTCATTTGGTCTGGGAATGATTATATTATAAGTTATATATAACCCTGTAAGGTATTGTGATCTTTCAGAATAGCATTGGTTTAATCAGTCAAAGGTTTAGTCCCCTCCCCCAAACTTGTTGCTTTCATCTGATTTTAAGCTTCTATATGATGATACCCAAGGTTTTTATGAAAATGGATTACGCAATATATAACCATGTCGGCATTGAAAAGCCAAAAAATGAAACCATTTCTGTTAAAGCATCAGAGTGCCAAACTTTATGAAAAAACGATATACACAACTAAGTAAACGACTAGGAAAATGAAATTTGAAAGAAAGCGTTATTCATAAATCTAGTTAGATTAATGGAAGATTATTTTAAAATCATGTAATGAAGACTAACTTTACATTTTCCAGCATTCAAAGAATAATTTGATCTTTCATACACATAGTTCCCTTTATCATTTTGAAAAGAGCAAGAACAAACATTCTAGCAGAATAGCATGAATTCATTTTTATTTCGTTGGTTCTCGTCAGCTGCTTACAACCTGTGATATTTAAACCAACTAAATAAAAATGAATTCATGCTATTCTGCTAGAATGTTTGTTCTTGCTCTTTTCAATAATTTGATCAATGGAATTTTAACATTTTGACTACAACTTTTTACTAAGGACAAGGAGATAGAAGCTGAATGAAGAATGACATTATAAACTAGACATGTAACGAAAAAAAAACCGTGTTGAGTTGCAATATAGGCGTGATTAAAAATAGAACGACAAGTGATAATTAGAACTATCAAATGCACATATTGAATAAAACAAGAACAAATCTTTATTTGTCATAGTTTCAAAAATCTATAAACTTTCTTTACCAGAATACAAACAATAGCAAAATGTGGCCACTTTCATCATTTAGAATCGTAGCTGGTAACGTATTACACCTTTAGATCCTTTTATCCTTTTATAAATGATAGTCTTTGCTCCAGTCAACTATAAATTCGATAATCATTAAAGTAACCTGTTATGACTTATGGCCACTCACTAACATCACCTGATAAAAACACCATTCGGAATCCGTTCAGCACTAATAGACTTGATTCAACACTAAGCTCTTATAGGTCTTAAATACCCTAGCTTCCCTCGCTTTCCTGCCTGTTAAGTTCAGAATACAGTAATCAGCCTGCACAATACGAGTATTATGTTTCAAGCATGAGTAGTTTATATGCAGATATACATGATCATATCACACCTTAAAATGAGAAATAACAATTCAAAATAATCACGTCAAAATGTGGCAGTGAGTAAGGGAGACTGTAAATAATAAACCTGGGACAGATTAAGAATAGTATATCATACAACAGTTGTTAATGGGTTAATCGGAAGCTCATGATGAAAGGGTTGTATATAATTATATGCATGTAATTTAGTTAAATAATAATTATACAATAATGATATGTACATCATAATGGCCCATAAATTAACTCTGGCAGTTACTGTTTATTTAGTCATTGTCGGATACTACATAACTAGGTTTTATTTTACAAATATTTTCGAATTACGTTATATGATTTGTCCCGTTTTGTCTAAATGTCATAATTTTGTGTTAAAATGTACACTACTTACAAATTCACAAGTAGAACAAATTACTAAGAAAATCACTAGCTCTGACCACGTGCATACAAACACTCAGTCTCAATCATTTTATCAGAGTAATGAAGACATGGCATAGATAATTTGTTTTTATTTGTTTGAGGAAACTAGGAAGAGGGTTATTAATCTAGACTGTGTTTCTTCTTTTCATCCATAATGAGAGAAATACCCTCTGTTCCTCTGAGATTCTAATCCAAATATCATCTGTATCCCAAGTTGATAGGGTGAGCTAAGGACCACACGTACAGCAGTTCTAAACATTTACTTTTAAGTTTGTACTGATATTATTTCCTAGAAAGGTAATTAAAGAATCACAATTATATCGTTCAGGATCATAAATACGACACCATAAAACACTCTTTTAAGCTAGAGAATTTCTTTCCCACTTCAAAATATTCCTTTGTAAATAAATAGAATTATCTTTAGCGTAATTATCGTTATCCATACAAATAACATATGTCTAATGAAGTCCATTGGCTGATTAACCTACTTGAATATCTAATTAGTACATGAACTCCCAAATATACAAAAAGACAAAATGCATGAAAGATGAAGGAGAAACCACACAGCTTGTTTCTGATACAGTGTGTTACTATAAGTATCGTAAGTCGTAATTTAATTGTTAATATCTGTCCTTTATGAGAAATCAGTTCATTGTAGCATATTAATAAAGATAGACCACTACTACAGACTGCGGATTACATATCACTTAGAAATTAATAGAGACTACTGACTTAAATTTGACTACTCTTTAGTTAACTTCTCAGAAACTAAAGCGACTACCGGTTTTTTCGGATGATATAATCACGAATTATTGGCATTAGAACTAAGAACTAAAGGACTTTGATTCAGCGGTCCAAAGGTAATGCACTTGTCACAAGAAATGACAGTCCTAAGTTCAGTAAGGTGTTAGTCGTAGATTAAGAGTAATAAGAAGAAGCGTCTATCTGGTGATCAGTGGTTCTCAAAAAAGATAACGTATGCATATATTTCCATTAACCTACATTGGAAGTTAAAATGTTCCTGAGTGCTTGAAAACCTAAATACCTCACTACAAATGCATAAGAATTGTTTGTAGTTTATCAACTCAATTGAGTAGCTCTCCTAATTATGCGTCCGCTTAACAGTCAGATGTGGTTTTTGAAGGTAAAATTTTTGAAGAAACAGTGGCATTGCACTATCAATATGCCACTAAAACAGTATTTTCGACTAGTGCTGGAGGTAAGTTTGGTGTATTCAGAGGATAAAGTGATTTAATGTTTGATCCTGAAACTTTTGCGTGCCATAGGCTGATCATCTCATACCAAGAAATATGACAAATTAAGTCAGACTGAAAGATTAACTGAGCCATCTATAATATGCGAACAGCCTGACCACAAAGAACTATAAATCTTTGAATTTATTCATCAATAAATATTATACCAATGTACATTACAAATTAACCTATGGGCGCAAGATTCATGGTTTTTCTCATAGGTGTCAGATCCACTATCAGTCAGAGCAGTCAATTAATTACATCTGTCCTGACATAAGATAAGTTTGACTAACTAGACGGGCAAATAACACTTTACCACGGTCGATGAAGGAAAACTAAGACAAGTATCAAATAACTCATCCAATTTTAATTCGTGTGAAACAAATAAACTGCATAAATATTCTCGTAACTGTAGAGCTACTGAAATAGATTAAAGTAGTCCGAATCATAAACACAAAGTTTACTCGAAAGATTTAAGTTTTCCGTAGCCTGTAATGGATTCAATCCAATCCAAATAGGAATATAATGGTGTATAGATTGACGGGATCCCATTCAAACCACACTGAATTCCTGATGACGCAATACCAACAACGAACCATTTCTAAGGGTTAAAAAGAATATTTTGGAAATGACACTATCAATTTACACAATAATGCAACACTTAAAAACAAACTGGTACTTTACGTTTCTGGTGACAATAATCAGATAAGATATGTGTACTCCAGATCCTTACACTTCTTCCCATAACCACTAGCTTGACTCAACAGTAGTTAATAAGCCACAAGGATATTCAGCATCGAAGATCGTCACTGTTGAAAATTCTTGGCGTTTTCCAATTTCTAATTTCTTAATTTCATTATATTATTGTGATTAGTGTTATTTCAATGTTAAAATATCCATTTTTCTGTTTCATTCCTTGATAAATTATGTCAACAAGAAGCCATTTTCATTACACCTGTGATAATTTTCCGTATCGTACTTTTTCTATTGTATTACATCCATAATTAATCACAAAACAACTTTCATTAAAGCCTCATGGACATGACATCAGTTACTCATCAGTAGTGTATGTTTATCCTAGATTTCCTTTGAAAAACAATTCCTTCTTCCTATTAAAAAGAACTTCAACATAAAGACATACATACAAAAATGAATCAGTCAAGATACTAAAATCATGTATTAAGAAATCCAACCTTTCATTATGCTTTTCCTACTTATGCCTACTTAATTTCCTAGAGTCAAACTATATGTATGAGAATACCTAAACATATACAAATAAATATTGATGTGGTAAATAATAATATTCAAGGCATGAATGAAATATTTCAAATGATAGTTATCGCTTGAATTATTTTGAATTCAATAATACAAATTACAGTAATCGCTGTTAAACTTCGTTAACTAGTTCATACTTAATAATAATAGTAATAAAGGGAGTTTGTCTTAGGCTTTTCTGATAATTGGTTCTCTTACGTTTATTGAACACACTCAATGCTATATTGAATGGTAAGATATTCTATTCATATTCCCATAAAAGTTAGAAGAGCGAAAGAGAGAGAAGGAAGCAATCAAAAAGGATATAATATACAATTAATGAATAGAAAAAAGACATTGTTGTCTCATATCCAGTTTGTGGATAAGTGAAAATAATAATTTTGCTTTTCTCAACAACAACAAAAGCATTGATGATTATTTTAGGAAATGACCTTATTTCTACCGAATGGTAAATAGGTTAAAAGAAACTATCTTTAAATATTTATGTATATATAGTTAAAGGATATTTCGTTTGTAATAAAAGCAAGTTAAAAATAAAAGAGGACCAGAATATGAAACAAAACTGTTTATGTTTACTTGGTGTTTTTTGAACTGTAACTTTCCATTGTTATTTAGAACTGGAATTGGTCAGTCTCATGTTGGTATATGTGCATCCTGTGCGGATTGCCTCGATATAGCCTTAAGTCACAAGCTTTCTTAAAGCAAAGATGGATAGTGGCCAACAATGGAAGGTACATCCAGCTGACGAGTCCCAAATAGGACGAAAAAACTCACGTTCTGGATTCCACTGTTAGCCGCTTTCCATCTTTACTCAAAACTACTTATATTTTTAAAAATAGATTGTAAGAGTTATGATTGACTTTTAGTAAACAGTCTCTAGAATATTCTGATAATTACTTACAAACAATCACTGAACACAAAATAAATGTTATTGATGGAATAGTAGTAATTTTTACAACCTGATATCAGTTCAGTAAATTTAACTAAGAGACCAAAATTGAAAGGTTTCAATATTTGAAAATTAAGCCGAACAAACTGTATTTGCTAGTAAGCCAATGAATTCAACAATTCATGGTTGTTATGGTATGCTGAATACATTAACATTCAGTAATTTGTAAAATGTACTATCATTATAGGTATGTGGAGATTGTTGAGTTTGGATTAAGATCATGAATCCACCAATATTGGACCATCACTAAAAACCTGGAAGAACTGGACAGCCGTTTCGTTCTAGTATGGGACTCCTCAGTAGTGCGTATCTACGTGCAGGATCATAGAGATTGCCATATTTTCACAATTCTAGTGAGAAGCCCTGATTAGTGGAGCCAAATCCATGTCTGCTGTAAGACAGTTATCTACCTCAAAAAATGAGTTGCGCAAGATCATGGATCAATTGAAGTTAGACGTTAACACCGTTGAATGCCGGCTCAGTGGTTTAGATGTTAAGCATTCTCACGCAAAACCGAAGGTCCAGGGTTCGATTTCCGCGCGCAGAATCACTGACGCTCACTGCTGGAGAGTCTCGTGCTGAGACGAAACAGCCGTCCAATGCTGCCAGGTTTTCAATGTTGGTCTAACATTATTCGATTCATGATCTCAATCAAAATTGTGCTATGCTGGTTGATATTTCATATCTTACAGTTATTTTTTTAGTCTAACATCTTCGTTAGATAGTCAACAATTGATTTGTCTTCATCATTTTTTCTACTAATTCTAACAGATAGTTTTACAGATAATAATGCCCTATGATAAAAGCTAGCATTACTAGTGAACTTTATTCTGGCTAAAAGTAATACTGATTTCAGCAACAAGTTCGAATTACCCATGGGTTGCGCAGCGAATTGACTGAATTTCAAAATGTCAAACAATGGTCTTCGACTCTGTAGTTCAAAAGTAATATAATCGGCATGAAGCATGGAGTTTCTAGGTTCAATTTGGTGTATGGTCCTATTCCGTCACCGATGAGTAGTCCTAAATAAAGATGAAACTTCAGTTCAGTGCTCACTAAGTTGGGATGATTTTTAAGCTAAGATCGATCTCTGATAAAGACAAACCTAATAATTTATATAACATTATCCTAACTATTCAAACTTGCTATGCATAAATGATCTGCTCTACAGTCTCATGAAAAGCTCTAAATTGTACACGAAATACTAATACTTCAAGTGCTTAAATATCCGATTTAACAGGAGTCTTTATCATTCCAGTACATTAAGAGAGAACCTTAACAATTTACATAGATGACTTTCCACTTCATGTTTCAAAATGTAGCAATAAGTAATGTGGAATAAAACTTATCAAAACCATGAAGTTTTAAAGTATCACACTAGGTAGTTAATCAATCAACAGAATTAGCGTAAAAGATTGCTCTTCTTTCTTGGCAATAAATATGTTTAAGACAATTAGATTGTTAATTCAAGATCTCCGATTATGTTAATAATAATAATAATAATAATAATAATAATAATAATAAAAGTCGTAATAGTAGTAAAATTTTCCATCGATTTTGGTTAATATCTGAAAAACGTGATTGGCTTATATTTTAGTGAACATAAGCTCAAATATTACCCAACTATAGTGTGTATTATGTTAAAGTTTAACAGTGATTTTGGTTTGCACATCACTGACGTTGAATAGAATAAGCTGAATATGAAAAGTCTTGAAACACAAAAATATCTGAGATATCACTCATCAGTATAATCCAACTGTGACTTAATGAATTATTAATATAATAATTTTCTATGTCCTCCTGCTTTTAGCTTCGTTCACCGACCTCTACACTTTTCGAGCGTTTGTCTTTATTGAACTGTATGACAACCATACAACTTGAATTCACTTGGTATTGTTTACATGTATCTCCTCGTTGCTATTTAGAACTGCAATTGATCAGTCTCTTATTGGCATATGTACATCCTATGCGGATTGCCTTGATATTGTCTTAAACCACAAGCTTTTTAAGCAAAGATGGATAGTGGCTAGCAGTGAATTCCAATTTGACTCGCATTTCATCCTATTTGAAACTCGTCAGTTGGATGTACCTGCATCTAAGATTTGATGTTCACTCGGGTACTGGAACCTAATACCGTTCACTTCAAAAGCCATCGCATTATCCATTTGGCTATTGAGTCCTGATTGAAATAATTGGTCATTTATCAACAACATCTTAATACATTTTCGCTGCTAAATTATTTGAAACCATCCACTTCAAAACGTGTTTAAAATAAACCTCTCACCTTTATAAATTTCGAGTAATTTTTTGATTCAATGCACAAAAGTGGTCCACCACTATCTCCTTGACATGTATCACCATCTACATATCTTCCACCAGCGCATAAATAACTAAAAGGACACTTTTGACCAATAGAATTATCAATGAAACTTTGTTTACAAATATTTATCCATTCATATTCTTGTTGTTGTTCATAACTTTTGATTTGTTTTATTTCTGTTTCTAATTGTAATTTCTTCCATAATCCATTACAGGATTCAAGATGTACGAATGCAACATGAAAATCTATACTAAATAAAATGAATCAATTATATATTTATCTTAATTATAAACTTATACAATTATTAGAATTTGTATTCTTTATATCGCGATATTTTAAATGACCAACACCTGAAACTATACATATATATTCTTGACTACTTATTAGTAGTTTATCATTTATTAATAAAAAACGTTTCAATTCTTCATAATTATACATTTCATTAGTAAGTGAATCAAGAATAGAGTGTTTTAATTTAATTAAACCAATATCTGGTGATAAACTTTGACCTTGTGTAAAATTTGGATGAAGAATTAGTGCATCAATCGATTTTGCTTTATCATTAGGTCTAAAATGAATTGATGATTTATCCATGTATTGACGTAGTTTTGATATTTGAAGACTTTTAATACTACTATTATATAGTGAGAAAAATATAAGTAAAAAAAACTGGAATACCTTTGAAATGGGCTAATACAATGAGCTGCAGTTAATACCCATTCATTACTAATAAGTAGACCACCGCATAAATGCCTTGGTTTTACTGTTCTAAATCCATGAAGTGTATAACTTATTGAAACAAATCGATCAAGAAGAAATTGTATTAAACTTTCTGGAATTTGTACACTATGAAAAAAGTAATTCTGTGCTATTTGTCTTTTGTCTTCTGAAATATCTTCTACTGATTGTTTAAATTCAGGAGTTTTATGAGGTGGAATGGTTTGTGATTGACTACTGATACTAATAATTTCTGGTTTCATGAAATCCACTTTTCCATTCTGATTCACTATTAACTGATGACCTCCATAAATGACGGGTTGAATGACGCTTGAATAATTACAATTCACATTATCTGCAAGATGCAAAAAAGATCTGAACTTTATTTTGTTTAAAAATAAAGAGAATACCTTAAGTTGGCCAACTTACAATCAAACCATCACCTTAAAATCGATACTACAAAGAATTTACATCTACGGTGAATCAGGAATTACCTATTACATTTAGATCATTTGGATTCTGAGACTTGACAAGAGCGTACAACTGAAGCCAATGGATAACACAGGACTAGTTTCCAAAATGATTTATTTCTTTTATGAGAGCTGTTTTCCAGTTTACCTAATCTCTGTCAAGCCATTAAAAGGAATAATGATTAACTCGCAACTATATTAGCAGACTAAGAGGAACGATGCTTTTCAAATTCTAGACCCTGAGATAGGATAGTGTTAACCGTTTGTCATATCATATAATAACAGCATCTGTAAAAGATACCACTATCAAATCTGAACCTGTTAATTCAATAAATACTACCCTCACTAAAGAGTCGTAAACAAGAAACAATCATTTGTTTGTGATCGCCCTTTGAATTTAACAATGAGATCTACCCTTAAAGTAGTTATTTCTTTTAAATCCATAGTCAACGTATAATCTTATCATCATACAGCCAATAGCAGTAATAACATCATATCACTAACAAAGTAATATCACTAAACCATGATTCAGGTGGCCTAAATGTAAGTACAGAATTCCAAATAAAGTATTACGAAAAACATACAATACAGTTATTCGACTAAAAGAATTGCACATAAACATTAAAGTTTATTAATCGTGAGTCAGTCTGTTTAAACCCAATAGACTAGACGCTTGTAACAAAACTGTAATTTTAAAAACCAGGGAAATTACAGAATTTTGTGTCATTTAGGTAAAACAAATACAACTTGAACACCTGTTCAAAAAGAATTGACCACAGTTGCTACACTAAAGTCGTTATGAATGATACCCTCTAAAAGGTCAATGAAAGCTTGACAATTAAATCACCGTTCTCAGAGGATGTAAGTCAAACAGAATTATCATCCTAAAATCTACAAATACACTTCATAATCTCACAAAACATGATAGTGGTCTTTGAAAAGTTATTTTCGAACTATTATTGATACTGAGCTCAAAGTACTTTATTTCCTATAAAACCAAATTAAAGCTGACGAATCAAGCTTCAAATTTTATGCGACGAAAAGACGAATTCACACTTACATATAAAACGATAGGAAGAACGTGCCCATAATCTCCTTACAAAATAAAAAATTTTTAAGATTTCTGACCATGCTGATTTTAATAAGCTTAGAAGAAACCATTTTACTTCTATCTAAAGCTTTAAAAAATCATGTATGTTTCGAATATATCAAGGACTTTCACGTGACCGAAAAGAATGAAGCCCTAGAAAATCTTGGTCCAGTGTTCCAAGTCTTCACTGATGGTCTACTATTAATCGGTTCATCATCCCACTGAAATATCATATTCACAAACAAATAGTTCAAATAATCATCTTTACTACTGTCTGTAGTCAGAATAATAAAACTAAATATAAATAAGTCAAAAGGCGAACACCCAAATCTTAATACCTTAGATAAATTTCTTGCAATTTTGAGTATAACAACAATGTTTAAGAAACATACCTTAAACTATAGTGACATCTGTTTTAGAACATAAAATCACTTATCTGTACCGGGGGAAACAACTTTAAGTACACTAAACAAGATTGAATATGCTAAATATATATATATATATCATATTGATATATAATAAGCAGTCAAATATATTAGATAAATTACCTAGTTATTAGACTAATGAAGATAATGTGAATATGGTTAAAATGTATGTGTTTCTTATGTTTTAAGTAACGGTATAATTTTTTTCAAATTCCGCTTACCTGTCACTGATGAATATTAACAAGCTATGAAAACAATAATAAAAGCCTCTAAAAACTGTCTGTTATACATTATTCTGATAGCTTGCGTAATGATCAATAATTAACAAATAATTATAATGTCGTTTTAAGTGGCGGATTTCACTTTTTCCTTTAACTAATAGTCGTTACCAGTCTTTATTTAGTTATTCTTCAACGAGAGTTTATAGATTTGAAAATTTTAGTCTGTAGATCATTATTATAGTTCTTTGAAAGAAGAAAAGACTTTGATGTTAACTTTCATACGATATTTGCAGATACTATTGGGAAGATATTTTGGAATGTAATAGATTTGCTGCCCATAAATATTTTACAAAAAACAACCATTGGAAAAGTATTTGAACATTTGCAAGACACAGTAGAATCCTTCACTGAGAAATCTTAGATATATTGATAGCACTGTTATAACTTGTGGCCTTGTGCCCTATAAATATATAACATAATAATACCGCCAATTAAAGAATAGTGATTTATCGATCGGACCAATGATGCATAAACCCTTGCGAGCAGTCTAGAATCCTTATAGGTCCTTCTTCCTGTCTAGCCCTCTCTGTTGAGTCCAGAATACCAATCCCAGCCTCTGCGATATGAATCATGTATTTCAAAACATATTGGGTTTATATGCAAACCAAGCAGACCACATCGTACCACAAAATAGAAAACAACATATGTACAAGATTAAGCCAAGAGTGACTGTGAATGTGGGACACTGTAATTACTAGACTGGGCATAACTCAATAACGGTAAATCGTATAATAATAGTCTATTAGTCAAAATAAAGCTTATAATAAGAGGAACATGAATATGCATAGTATAGTCATTTGAGAATTACATAATAAAAATATATGTATCGCATTGGTCCATAAATAGTTCTTAAGAGTTACCATGCATAATTCTCGTCGGGATATAACAAGTGCTTAGTGAGATCAGTTTAGCTTGGAATTAGAACAAAAATTCTGATAATATTAAATACAGTTAAATAGATTTTACTCAATGTACATTTGTATTTCACTTGAATGAAATTTCCCATCCGTCAATGTTCTTATTTAAGCCAACACCATAAATCTAAACAGCAATTCAATTTTCATTAATAACATTTCTAGGTCTTGTCTATTACATTATTATTTTTAAATACACTTTCCAGCACGAACGAAAAGCACACTTATAATCAGACTAATAAAAATCAAGAAATGTTGAATAGACATTCCATAACAATTATAAAAACCTATAATCAGTATGAAACTTAAACGATACATCAGAAACCCCAGCTGCATTGTTGCATGAGTTTTATTGTCCATTTATGCATTCTAACTAAATTCTATCAATCAACTTTGACATGTGGCTAATAAAGTTAATAACTTGATTCTGTAGTTCATTGTATGAGATGAGGAATAACAAAAGATAATCGACACAAAAAGCCTACTTCAACTAAGTAACGTGTAAAAAAGCAAGTGGATGATACGATTTAAGTCATGTTAGTTTTTTCACCTTGTACTTCAATTAATGATTGTTCGCCTACGTTACACAGAGGATAGTAGATAGGCTTAAATACAAAACACCATGAATCAGGCTTTCTAGTAATCAATACTGACTATAAACTCTAGATCAAATCGTTCACCATGATTGTCAAAATAAATAAATATTTGCTAATGATATTCCAAGGGATTTTAGATAGATAAGATCCATTGACCGGATACCATCATCACAGCCTTTTCTGGGAGAGAACAAACCATCTTCCAGCTGAAGAAGAAATTAGGAAAAGACGATGGAAATGGATAGAACATATATTACGCAAGTCATAAAACTGCACCACGAGGCAAGCCCTAACTGGGATTCCTGAATGGAAGCGGAAAAGAGGAAGGCCAAAGAGCATATTACGTCGGCAGATAGAAGCAGATATGAAAACAATGAATTACAACTGGACGGGGCTAGAAAGGATTGCCCAGAACAGAGTTGGATGGAGAATTGTGGTGAGTAGCCTATGTTCCTTTACGAGGAGTAACAGGCGTAATTAACTAAGTAAGTAATAATTCTCCTCTTTCGATGTTTCAGAACTTTTCGAAAAAAGCCCTAATAAATTTCATTTGTACAAAATAATAAATGAAATTGACTGACAACAAGAAAATCAATTTATAGTTGACATTAATGCTCTAATAATCTCAGTTTTATTTATTCATGAATTCATGAATGAATACTATTTATAGGATATACCTAATGATAGTTACATAGGGTAATATATACGTTAAAATACTTTTCTATGGGAAGATTTACGCCAAATCATTTATAAACGTATTCATTCAATATAATTACATGCGTTATGTTGTGATACATTACCTGTCTCGTTTACAATACAAATATATATGTCATTCTCATTTCTTTATCATGTCACTATTATATTGATGTCAAATAGATAATGAAACTAAATATATAGAATGAAATATAAAGTTGACAAACTGCCTGAGGTCTCTATTAGTCACAAATGTTTTTCTTTGTTTTGTGTTTTTTTCTTTTTTAATTATTCGACAATTAAATTGAAATCTATGTAACTTATTTCAAGAACAATGCTAATAAAGCAATTAGTTTATGGATTAAATATACTGAATATAATTCTAAAGAAAACGCACTCATCCTGATAGTAATTATTAGAATAGAAATTAGGTTATATTATTGATTAGTTACAACATAATATGTATTATCAATGGTTAAGTTCATGAGTCAGTTGAAGCTAGATCACCATGGAAAACCTGGAAGCACCGGACGGCTGTTTCGTCCTATTGTGGGACTCCTCAGCAGTGTGCATCCACGACCTCGCCCCCTGCGAGATTTGAACCCAGGACCTACTGGTTTCGCGCACGAGCACTTAACCACTAGACTACTGAGCCGGCCGGTATCCAACGGTGTTAATGTCTAACTTCTAATCCACGATACTATGTTAGTGATTGATGGATCATATTTTCTCTTTTTTGATAAACGTTTTAACTCTTTCACACACACATATACATATTGATATTTAATTTCAAATTGATTATCTTAAATAAGATACTGATTATAGAGATTGTATATCATGAAAATTATTCATGTCATGATATGAAATGAATATTTTATACATTTCAAGAACTGATATAGATTGATATCTTAAAGAATAAATAAATTTTACAGTTTCTTTAAAGAACTGATAGGTTTCTAAAATGTTATATGTCAAAAATTGGTTTGTCTATTCAAATGGGGTTTAATTTGTTTGTTTTTTTAAATTTGTTTATTCCTTATCTAGTCTCTTTACTTGACTCATGAACTCAACTATTAAGATTACCATAATATTCACAAAACTCCTTCTGATGCTAATCAATATATGCTCACTAGTAACTAGCTTCAAGGTGTATATCCTGAAGTTCTAGTGAGAAGCAGTGACCAATGGAGTTCAACTAAATTTGTTGTGAGATAGTAAATCACTGATGACAATGGTGGATATTTCACTCAATTTCGTGGATTAGTTGAAGTCAGACATTAAAACCGTTGAATACTGGCCGGATCAGTGGTCTAATAGTTAAACCTTCGCGCGCTAGACTGATAGGTCCTGAGTTCAAATCCCTCAAGATGAGGTTGTGGATGCGCACTATTGAGGAATCTTACAATTGGACGAAACGACCTTCTAGTACTTCCAGGTTTTTCATGGTGATCTATCTTCAATTGACTCACGATCTCAACTATTGAGATTAAAGAATCATTGAATAACTGTTTACAGTATATACTTAATTTATTGATTTATATAAACATAGGTAAAATCCATATAATAAAACTGAAGTTGTTTTAATAAATCCATTGCGTTGATCTTTGACTCATATATATATATATATATTATAAGATTTTAAAGCTTAACAGATTATCATCATCAACAACAACTATATTCAGTAAAGTATAATAATCACAATTGATTGATCACTGGGTGGTGATCAATGTCATGTGTGTCAAGTTCTTATTTAGTGCAGATCGAATTGTGATTACATCTCAGTCCTACAGGAGGTTATTCGCGGCCCGGATAACCCAGTGGTAACGTCTCTGACTGTGAAACTGGGTGACACATGATCGAATCCGCCAGGGGGCACCAGGTCCCCCAAGGTTACAGGTACACCTTGCTTACGAATGCCAAGTAGCACGAAACTTGGGTCCAGGGTTTCCTGTTGACTACCTCCAACCACTATCCAATCTCAAAGTATAATAAAGTTGTACTTTTGAAAGATATTCATAAATAGATTCGAGGAAGTCTTATCTTACAAATAATTCTTATAAATTATTGTTTATATTTATAATGTTAGAATGATGTATTTCGTTGAAATTTAGTGCCCCTTAATTTCACAGATTGAAATCATGAGTCAATTGAAGCTTGACCACCATGGAAAACCTGGAAGCACTGGACGGCCGTTTCGTCCTAGTATGGGACTCCTCAGCAGTGCGCATCCACGATCCTGCACTCCGCGAGATTCGAACCCAGAACCCATCAGTCTCGCGCGAGCACTTAACCAACTAGACCACTGAGCTGGCATCCAACGGTGTTAATGTGTAACTTCAACCAATCCACGAAGTTGCGCCACCGTATACCATTGTCTTCAGTGAGTTGATATCTCACAAGAGACCTGGTTGAACTCCACTGGTAACAGCTTCTCATGATTTCAATCTGTGAAATTTCTAAAATCTCCACAAACAGCTTAATTGTTTATAATGATAAAATTCAAAACACATTCGGAATTACTAATTTTGATTATTACAGTTAATGTTTCTTATGTAAATCAATCTGAATATTTAGTTAATCATTCAAATAAATCTTCTTGAAATAGTCAATAATAATCATTAATATGAAATTGAAGAATTTCCGGGGTTTTGTATGAGAAGAATAATAAAAAAAGATGATGTAATCATACTATACTGATTTAATGTTTACAGTGAAATATTTTAAACTTACATAATAAATTTATTATTGTTATAATATTGTATAGTATAATCATTGTTATATTTTTTTGTTTATTATGATACTACTATTATAACTACTATTTAATTAATCTCTATGCACTTTTACCAAATTTCATATCTCATCAATTCACTGACATCATAATTATTTTCATATTCATCAATAATAACCCAATAACTATGTACTCAAATACATAAATAAATATGTTTAAACATGTACACACACACACGCACACACACACACACACTGGTAAGTACATACATATACAAAGAGACATTTAAAAATCAACAATTCATAATAAAGTACAAATATACATATATGGATATAATACTTGAAAAAAGAGATAAATTGATTTTCTTTTACACATTTATACTGTTTCATAATTCTACAAATCAAAATCAAATGAATCTTGATGTAGCTATTAAATTATGAATCCATTGAATGTTTTGTTATTCATCTAGTAAATAACTGTTAATTATCGAGTATCCATTTATCTTAGATATTCTATAATTAGAAGAGATAAAATATTAGGTGTCCAATGTGTTTACATCCTAGAATTTACTCCAGCGATCATAGGGATACGTATATATATATATATATATATATATATATATATATATATATATATATATATATATATATATATATATATATATATATATATATATACTGTTATATTTTGAAACTATGTTGTAATCAAAAAAGCATACCACAAGTTGTTTGCCAATTTCATCCTGTTTTTTTTTGTGTGTGTGACTAATCAAATGTTATTGTTATTGTTTTGATTTGAGGTATTTATTCACATTCCGTAGTTTATTATAATCCTAGAAGAGTCAAAAACAGAGGTATATATATATTGGCCAATTTATTTTATACTGATGTATTGATTATTCGATGTTTTTATGTAGTGTATCGTCATTATTGTCCATGAGAATGAGTTAAATAATAACTGTACAGTTAAGGAGGAAGAATGTATTTGTAAAATCTGGTCCAAACTTTTTCAAGGAAAAAGATTGCCAGGTGAAATGTTGAATTTACTTTAAATTCATTCGTTGAAATTTTACAAATACATTCTTCCTCATTAATTTCTCACATCAACTCAGCGCTTAAATACTGTGAAACTATTCGAACAACTGGACAATTTTACAGCTAATTTTGAAATATGATCATTTAAATGAATTTGATTTTAGAAATATACTGGATTTGTAAACATTATTAAACTATAAATTGGTTTTAATGTTGAGTAGTTAGAGGAAATTCGATAGGAAGCAGCCAATACAAGATTCATGCTAGTTGGAATAAGTCATTCAAGTGATTTGACTAAGTTATTGATAATTTTCATAGTGTGATATTGGTAACTTTAGTTGCATCAAGCTTACAGATATACCACGTTGACATGTCCTAACTAGCAGGAAACCTTTATTCACAACATCCTACTGTTTGCTTCGATCTACTTTATATAGAAAAATTGCATTATTTTGTTGAGTCATTAAGACTCATGAATACATTGCACCTTATTGAATAGAATTTAATAAGGTGCCATAACACTGGTTACTACAAAATGCTCAAGTAATTTAGAGTAGGTTACTTCATATTTCTGAGGAATGAATAAAGGACAAACATTCTATTTTTGTTACATATCATTCTAAATATCCCTTTGTATAAGTTTTTATTAGAGTTAAAATCAGGTAAGAAAAGTACCACTGACTGACCTATTCAAAATTTAATGTCTCATTCAATATAAAAATTCAAAGCTTCTAAGCTTAATTCTGTTTGAGTTAGTTAAAACAGTAAAGGTTATCCTTGTTTTCAGAACTCCACCTTTGAACACTAGTCGGATAACTAATTCTAAATCATAATACAAATTATTTCTGTGTAGACTTATCATGCTGCCTACTCATTGGTTTTCTCTGATTCTTAAAAATGACTGCACACAAGCCATGATTTCATTTTACTTATTGATTTGTTCAATTATAAATGTTAGTTTAGTCATAGAGAGAAAACTGAATATGAAAATTGTTGACAGATTTCAGATAGGTCATTTAATTTTACAGTCAAATTAAATATAAATATTTCCTGGAGTTCTAGTAATAAGCAGTGACCAATGGAGTTCAACCGAGTCTATTGTGAGATAGTAACTCACTGATGACAATAGTGAATGTGTCGTTCAATTTCATGAATTAGTTGAAGTTAGACATTAATACCATTGGATACCGGCCGAACCAGTGGTCTAGTGGTTAAGCGTTCGTACACGAGACTGATAGGTCCTGAATTCTAATTTCGCAAGGTGGGGTTGTGGATGTGCACTATTGAGGAGTCCCACACTAGGACAGATTGACCGTCCAATGCTTCCAGCTTTTTCATAAGGATCTAGCTTCAATGGACTAATGAATTCAACTATAAACAAATAACTTAAAATATAAAATAAGTGTCATTATTAACATTTTAATGTTCATGACATAATATTTTTCATTATCTATAAATAATAATTTCCTTATTAATACATATTATTATATCAACATATTTAAGTAGTTACTTAAAGTATCAGGAATTTGTATGAATCATACATAGATATCAGTTTACTTATTCTCTCAAATGGTAAAATTTATATTCATACAATCATATTCTATAATAACACTATACAATGAATGAAATAGGAGAATTATATTTTCTTTCAGTACTATAAATAAGAATAAGAAGTGAATGAGTTACTGGTCAATTAGAAAAATAATGATTAATCATTTTAATATTGGACTTGTCAACGCCTATACTTATTATTTATAAATACTAGTAATAATAATAATAACGAAGGTAATGATCAATATTTTGAAATCAATACTTTTGCACCAGAAGTGTAAACATATCATATTCAAGAAGCAAACATGAAAGAAAAATAGTAATATTTAATCTTCTTAACAAAACGAGTTACAGAATATCTGAATTATTTCTTTTTTTTCGATTAATACATTAAGATAATGTCGATTTACTATTAACTTTAAGTGTTCTATTGATAGTGTGTCAGTTTTAAGATTTGACTAGATTATTAGACGAATATATATTGGTTTATAGTTGTCCAACCTCTCATAGTAATAATAATAATAAAAGGGTAAAATTAACAAACTGAAGTATGTAGGTGGGTAAATGAACACTAGAATTATGATTCATACACCTCCACTTTTATAGTAGATATTTTACAGCAGTGAAACAGTACAACTTGGTAAAACTCATGAGAATTAGAATAACCTTCATTGAATATTGTCAATTTTACTAACTGATGTACCACCAAATATCAGCTGATAATATTTTGACATTATTGGGTTTTCTGAGTCTTATCATTTTGATGTACTGAATTTTATATAGTTTTATACGATACCATCAGTCTAAAATCAATAATATGTTTTCTTGCCCTTACTTATAGTTGAATTTAATTGGTAATGTTCATGATGAAATAACTGGACTGATAATTTTCACCGATTACTATATGATCACTTTTACTGAAACGCCCTTACCTAATCACCCTAAATAAACATACAGACAATTTACCAATAACAAAATATCCAGGACACCAGATAATTTCATAATTCACCTAAGAATAAATACACACTACCTACATTTCTAATAGTCCTACAAATTAATAAGTATACAGGCGAAATGCAATACTAATAAGTGGAACAACCTTGACCATATATTTATATATCAATAATATTTCAGGGAACATTGAAAAAACATGGGTTAATGAACAATCCTTTTGACGACAAACCTCATTTGATATGAACTGTTCACTACCAAAAATCTTCATAACGTTTTCTTATAGCATTACTATAAAAACATTACCACCTTAAATTCTTTAAATTATTTAGTTTCGACAAAATTGCTAAAATTTAGGAATTACTATAGTTTCATAAAATATCCCTCGATGGATGAGGGTGTTAGGCGGTTAACGGTAGTCGACATGAAACCATTGACTAATGCTTCGTGATTCCTGATATTCATCAGTAAGCCATACCTTTAATATTGAGGGGAATGGAGTTCCCGTTTTACACTACTTCACAGCCTGAAACAATACAACTGAGCTACTCGGGTAACTAGTGACTTCCTGTAGGAACAAAATATTTACAACTGGTTGATCAGTGATCAGTATAATGTAAATAGCTGAGTGTTTGATCGCCAGTTAGGGACAAAATGAACATAACATTGATCACCACCCAGTAACTCATCATATATGAATAATGTGAATGTTATTTCCAGCCAGAACTGATAATAGTTGAGGAACTAATCAAAAGTAAGATGTTCTGTTTTAATTTGGGAACTTTTCTTATGAAACTGAGTTAAGAAAATAATGAACTGGATGAAAAGCTGAAAGCAGTATCCAACGCTATTTTAGGGTATTAGTACAGTTTCATCATCTTGATCGAAACAATTTAGGTCAGTGACAAGTAAAACAAAAAGAGTAAATAGAAAGTGACAGAAAAATATTAATTCATTCAGTATTTTTTTACTTTAATGCAAAATAGGTATGGTAGTTAACTGAGCAATCAATTTGACCTCGAATTGGTTAGTTAAAAATACTGACCTTCTAAGGACATTGAAACAATGAAACTAAAGATTGAACTGAATGATATTAAACAGAGAGATAAACATTAAAGTAAATGAAAACCTAAGAGGAAATATAATTTATTCATAAATGCTTTTCCTCTTAGTCATTAAGAAAGTTCCGTTAAAGCTTCAGTTGATCAATCAGTCGTCTAAAACGTAGGACAAGGCACATATATGCATCGATCCAAGTTGCTATACCTCAATAGCACAACAAAATGAAATTCAAATTCGTAGAAGTAGTTACTTCAATAGTAGTAATATATAAAAGAAAAAATACATATAAGTATATGATACAGAGAGAAAGTATTAGCTCGTAGAAAGAAAGAAAGGTATTTATTATCTGAAGAAGTGGCTTACATTAAGTCGCGAAACGTCAGAAAATCTAGTTTTTCTACTTATTGGGACATTACAAATATATTATTTATTTAAAACTCTATTGTTTTTAATATTTCTTTAACTATTATTAACAATACTGAGTGATTTTGATCGAACAGTTTGGTTGACTAAGAAATATGAATCCATGTATGCTAAATATGAATACTAAGTCTGTGTGACGGAAATATGTAGCTTTTCCCTTAAATCATTTCTGTTTGATAATTTATGCACTACTGATTAGACTGATAAGTTACCGACTATAACACG